CCACAGGCCCCAGGGGAACTGCCGGTTTTTGGGGCACCCCCACATTCCCTTTACAAACAGGGCCTTTTTTTGCATCCCCCCCCCCCCCGAATTGGCGGCCTTTCCACTTCATCTGCTTGGTGAGGCCCTATCATTTTGGAAAGAGGACCAGCCTCAGCGTGGTCTCTGCTCCAGGCCAGCTCAACCCTCCCTATGAACCCTTTGGCTGCCAGGAGGAGGAGGAGGAGGAGGAGGCGGCAGTGGCGGCAGGCCTTCCCTGTCTGCTCTGGCTTGACTTCTCTGCCCTCCCGGGACCTGCTCAACCCAATCCCATTTTTACGCTTTGGCTCTTTTAGTGGCTGCCAGAAATCCCACCCCCCACATACCACAGCTCGAGCCTCAGGACACCATCAGTCCCCTTCCTGAAGACCCTTTGGCCACCAAACGCCCAATGGTCTACACTGGCTGTAAAAATTAGGCTGTCAGGTGAGTCCTCCAGCAGACATGAAGCTTCGGGGAGAAGCTCCCTGTGGGACCTGATGGGCTTTGGGCTCCACTTGCTTCAGGGGATGGGATACTTAGTGCCCGTACGGAGGAAAGGCCACGGGGCAAAGTCCCCTAGGATTTTACTCTTTCTTCAGGGAGAAGAACGTCACCAAAAGAACCCCATGCACTCCAGGAAAGTAAAGGAAGGACTTAATACGCAATACAGCAACTAGCTTGCTTTGATTCCACGTGCCAATGTCTACGTTCTTAGGTTTTGGTCTAATCCCGCATCGATACACGCATCCGCTTACCCGGCTCGACCCTCCCTCTGGGCCTGCTGCCTCCTCCTCCTCCTCCGTTTGGTGGCCTTCCGAGCCCTGAAAGGCCCCACCCGGAGGGTCATCAGAGACTCCCAGCTAAGCCTCAACAGGTGGCCATCAGAGAGCTCCAGGGGGTGGTTCCAGCCCTCCTCTTCCTGAAAAGGACCGGCTGGCTGATGGAAGGCGCTCTTCTGACCCTTCCTTTGGGGACCCCAGCTGGAGAACCCAAAGAGCTGGGACAAGAACAGACGAGGTGCCCCAACTAACAGCCAATTCCCAACTCACCCAGGAAGAAGAAAAGGCAAAGTGCATCTTCTCACTTTTATCAGTCGTGCTGAAAGCCAGAGAGGGCCCCCAGCAGCCCCGTCCGTCTTTTGCAAGAGCCCCTCCCTAGACCTTTGGGAATCTCCTCGTGGCAAGGCTCAGTCAGGCCCAAGAGGGAACGCGCCTCCTTTCCCTGGACCGCAGCACAGCAGGCGTCTGCTCAGGCCGAGCCACGCCCCAAGCGATCCTGCTCCAGCGTACCCACAACCCCGCTGCACCTGGACGGACTGCATTCCACCACAGAGCCCCAAAGCACCAGAAACCCGGGAGACGCTGCTAGGATTCCAACCGGCTGGACGGACCCCGGAAGCTCCCAGCGCCCTTTGCAAAGAGCACGGGGGCAGAAACGAAGAGAACTGCCCCTCGCGTCATCCAACGATGCACACGAGGCCCCTTCACTTGGAGCGAATGCCGACTGACCCAGCACAGCAGGCGGCAGCAGCAACTCAGGACATCAGAGCTGAAGGCCAGTGAGGCAGAGCAGCAGCGGGCGGCGTTGCTTCTGGCGCCTCCCCTCCGGTGGCCAAGCAGCAGCTGCCTTCCCTGCCCCCCCCCAGTTATTTCCTGAACGGCGCTCCCCACCCCCACCAGGGCCCAAGCACATGACAGGGAGGGGAGCCTAACATTTGTGGGGGGGGGGCTCGAGTCCCTGTCCAGGGAAGGCCCTCCTGGCAAGGCCTCTATGGCTTTCGAAAGTCAAAGGGGACAGAAAGGCTTTCCTGCTTGTCCTGGAGCAGAAGGCCTTCGGGTCCTGCACACCCATTAACTCCTGGCTCAAGGGTGACCAACAAGGGGTGTGCAAACAACTCCTGGGCAGTGCAGGCAGCTTGGGGTACCAAGAGACGGGGGATCTGGGCAGAATATCTCCAGGTGGGAGAGCAGGACAGCCTTGGTGGCTACTGCGTGGGGGAGGAGGGAAGGAGAGACGGGGAAGCGGAAAGGAAGGGCAGGGCAGGGCAGGG